AGCAGAACCAGGCTCAGGACAAGCGGCCATCTGCTTCAACCAGCTGGATTTGAGAGGAACAGATACACAATGGCAGACCAAGAATCAGGGGGGCATCACATAATGTATACACTGTACTGTATACTGTGTACATACAGACTATACTGTACCAATTAACATTTTTTCTGCCTGCTCTGATGTGAAAACCTTCTCCAACTGTCTGCCCCAAATTTCTGCTACTGTGTTTTAGAATTGGACACAGTTTGAAAACATATATTAATTTTAATAATAATTTTAAGTGTCATCCATCCATCCATCCATATATATATATATATATATCATATACAGTATGTTATTTTATTTTTATTTTATTTATCCATTTATTCATTCATTTAAAAGAAACAAAATAAACAAAACAAATTAATCAAAAAGAATAAAACATTGAATGAAAAAGGTTCAGAAAGAAGAAGAAAATTCTTATAATATCTGCCCCTTATTTAAAAAAAAAATAACTACAAAGTACAATCAAACAAGACGTTAGGAATGAACAATCTCCAAAGTGAAAACAAAAAACATCAGGCATTCTTCACATGGTATCATACTTTCCCAACAATTTTAACTTAATCATCTTTTTAAACATAAATTGTTTTAGAAATGTTTATGGTGATATCCAGATAATTCCATAATCCTATTCCCTGAATTACAACGCAGCTCCTTCAGACTCGTTCTAAATGGAGGTTTTACAAACATTTACATTCCCTTAAGGTTATGATGACTCTCTTTTTAACAAACTTTTCTTGAATATCTGGGGGTAATATTTTTTATGAGCTTTATACATGACTTGTAAAATACTATATTCAACCAAATCATAAGATTTTAATAATTTCAACTGATGAAATAAAATATTTGTTGGATGACCATAGCACTTCCTACTAATAATTCTTATAGCTTTTTGTAAAATAAAAATAGGATTTGTCATTGTTTTGCTTTTCCCCAAACTTCAATATAAAATATTAAATGTGGAACAATCATTGTATTATACAATACAGTATATACAAAGCTTTGTCATTCAAAAACTCTTTTACTTTATACAGTAATGCAACTGATTTTGTTATTTTTATTCTTGAGTCATTTACATGAGATTCCATGTCAGCTTCTCATCAGTAACGACACCCAAAAATTATTATTTCATTAAATCTATGAATTTCAGTACTGCCAATTTTAAATGGGACTTTAATAATTTTCTTTTTATTACTAAATATCATTTAGTTTGTTTTTTCAAATTTAATGATAACTTATTAAGTTGGAACCAAGTTTGTATTTTCACGAATTCTGCCTGTATCATCTCTAAGATCCATTCAACATCTTCACCCGAACAAAAAAAAATGTGGTATCATCTGCAAATAAAACACACTTCAAAAGACCTGACACATCAACCAGATCATTCACATACAAAATAAACAACTTGGGTCCCAATACAGAGCTCTGAGGAACTCAGGCACCTTCCCTACTTGCTCTTGCCGAGATCAGATGCTTCTCACATCCCCTCCCTCTCCGCTTTGCTTTGCTGCTCTGTCTGTCTGTGAAACTGCTTGTGAGCCTCTCTTGCATTTCTTCTGAACCATAATTATGGACTTGTTTTGATCAGTTGGTCCCTCAACTCAATTTACAACATTTCTTCGAAGAGAAGACAGGCTTTAGGCGAGCCGATTTGCCCTGTTGGCACACACACAGCTGGATATCTCATCGACTTGGAAGACTTGATGATGTGTCTATCTCTGCTGCCATTTGTGGATTTTAAGAATGCATATTTAATTGGATTTTTGATAACTGGTTTTTGGATTTGGATGGTTGCTGGTTTTATCAATCAATCAAGGAAGTCGTCGGCAGCAAATTTGGACCCGATCACGCTGCTTGCCTTTATGGTGGCTTGGTTCATGTCTCAAGTACCCGGACTCAAATGCTTTGGGCTGAATGGATCAGATCTTGGGGATTTTACTCAGTCACGTTCCATTGGTGTAGCCATGTAATTTGGACATCACGGAACCGTTTAGACCAACACAGACTCAAGGTAGATGTCATTAAGTTCTGCCTGTCCCCAAAACAACTGTGTGTTTATCTGAATTTGGCTCCCCTGACTGGCCTTGAAGGCCATCTTATCTGAATTCGCCTGGAGAACATGTGATCTGACGCTCACCACCCCCTCCCTGAGGAATTTCCAACTGATAACTAGATGAAATCAGCTGAATAAACTTGTGTCATCATTTCAGGACTAAAGGATTCTCAGAGTTGTTATTCTTGGCCATTCCTCAACATACCTCGAGAATGTTTATGGATCTCACCGGAGGACACTGGTTAATTATTCCATCCTTATCAGAACTCTTACAGTGACCTCGAGAGTATCTATGAACATTGCTGACTGCTCTCGTCGACCCCCTCTGCAGAATGTCTACGTCACTATGTGCTTGTTTGTGCGAGGTGTTTTTTAATATCGGAGTTTTTTCTTCTCAGGCAGGAAAAAAAAGTCTGATAGGAATTTTTTCGGGGCAGCACGGAGGCACAACTGGTAGAGCTGCTGCCTCTCAGTGAGCAGGTCCTTGGTTCAAACCCCGGTCCAGGGACCTTTCTGGGTGGAGTTTGCATGTTCTCTCCGTGCATGCGTGGGGTTTCTCCAGGTGCTCCGGTTTCCTCCCACAGACCAAAAACATGCATGTTAGGCTGATTGGTAATTCTAAATTGTCCCTAGGTGTGAGTGAGAGAGTGAATGGTTGTTTGTCTCGTTTGTCTCTATGTGTCCCTGTGATGGACTGGAGACCTGTCCAGGGTGTACCCCGCCCCTCACACAGTGATTGCTGGACATGGGCACCAGCGACCCCCGTGACCCAAAATGGAACAAGCGGGTAAAGATAATGGATGGATGGATGGATGGATGGATGGATGGATGGATGGAATTTTTTCGCCTCCAATTCCTACATGTGTCCAGTTTACCACTTTTATTGTCTGTCCAAACAGGTCTCACTTGTAAATGAGACTTTGAAGCTCAATGTGATTTATCTGTTTAAATAAAGGTTGAATGAATATAGCCCTCCTTGGAGAAAACTCCACCAGCCGCCACTGATTGTTTTGTTCTTGTCCAAGGCGCCACAGATTGCCGAATCCTAGCGAATGGATGAAGCAATAATATCTTCCACCTGGTGCAATGGAGGAGTCAGAGGGTGGCCAATGGTGGCCTTGGACAACATGAATCTTAGATCATCCCAATCCTTTGAGAGAGCTATACTTTTAAGAAATATAAAAACCAGAAAGCATAGTTTGCTCAAAGGGGTGACTAACAAACAAACACACACACACACACATATATATATATATATATATATATATACACACACACACACACACACATTTTTATTCTTCTTTCAGCTGCTCCCTTCTTCAGGGCTTGCCACAGCAAACTGTATCACACTAAGACTTGGCAATTGTTTAATTTTTTTTTTTATGCTGAATGCCCTTTCTAACACAACCACAGACCACTGAGCTACCACAGCCCATAGTGGAGCAGAGCTGTCATCGAGGGCACCTGGGGGAACAGATGGTGGGGGTTAAGAGCCTTGCTCAGGTGCCCAGAGTGGGACAAACGAGGGTGGATGAAGGTGTGGGTGTTTCACTTTTCCCACCCACATTTGGATTTTGTCAGTTCAGGGAGTTGAACTGGCGACCTTCTGGCCAACTTGAATTATGGTGTGACAAAGAAATCTTTCTTAGGCCTAGATGCAGACACACACTAAAATAGAAGTCAGTACCTTATCTATTTCTCAAGTTATCACACAACATGCACGGACAGATGCAGGGTATTCTCAGTTCCCCTCAATTTGCTCTGCGACGGGGGAAAAACACAAGGGAGTAAAAAAAAAAAAAACACAAGAGTTGCAAAAGACAAATAGGACACAAGAGACCTTTAGAAACCAGATCTTAACAACAAGGTTAAAAAACATAGAAATATAGGTAGAAGTAGCAATGTCTAGAAATAGAAACGTCTAGAAGTAGAAACGTCTTCCTACTCTGATCCAAATGGCCTGTTACTAAGGTTTGCTTTAGACACTCACATTCTTGTTTTCATTGTTGGTTAATGAAGCTTTGAGTAGCCCAGTCCAGAAGCCTAACCCGTACCTGTTTTCAGAAACCAGTTCTAATGGGTTTGTATTTGTCCTGTTGGAACACCCACTGTGTCCAAGTTTCAAAGATCTTGCTGCTGGTTTCAGGTACAGCTGGTCTTTAGTATTCCATCCACGGGTACCACAGCATGATGCGACCATCACCATGCTTGACAGGTGGTACAGCATTCTTGGGTTTGAAAGCTTCACCTTGACTCCTCCGAACATACTTCTAGGCACTGTGGCCAAATAGATCAGTCTTTGTCTTGCTGACTATAAAAGTTCCACAAACTTTCCCATTGTTCTGAGTATTTGTTAATCCAATGAGTGCTGCCCACCCCCCCAAAAAAGGTTGCAAAGAGAAACTACCATCTGCAGTCAATCCTGATCACCAACAAGAAATTCAAAGGACCCCATCAAGATGTTTCAGCACCATTTATTAAAAGTTTTAGATGAATGTATGTTTAATGTTGATCCTGTGCTAGTTATAGAAAATCCACATTACATTTAAACTTGTGCACCCAGATCTCATTTTTAAAAAAGCTATATGTTTTAAAATCCTTCCACCCTTGAAGAAGAACAGTTCAAGCAAAACACTAAAATCAGGAAATTAGTGTGACGTTCATGCCCATGATGAGTGGAAGTGACCTTCTGACTGCACCTGTATACATCGTGTCCAGCCATGACATCCAGCATGGTACCAGCAGCCACGTACCTGTTTCTGGTTGTTCAGGTGCATTTCGCGGTCAGCCACCTCCCGCCGCAGCCTGTCCACGTCCTGGCCGAGCTGCAGTCGATCCTCTCTGTCGTCAGAGGCGTCGTCCAGCTGCTTGGACAAGTAGAAGTTCTGACGATTCAGCTCAGCGTTCTCCTGGGTCAGTGAGGTCAGCTGCTCCTCCAGGTCTGTGATCACCTGCAGACGAACCAGAACACTCAAACTTCACGTTTAAAAAGACAAAAACATCAAAAGGACATTTATTTTACTGAAATATAGTTTTGTACTCTCTGAGATCATTGCTCTACTTGTTCAGTCTAAAATGCAGATTTCATTCAAATTTGCGGTGGACGTCATTTTTAAATCTTTTCATCCGGCTCATATGAACTTCTGATAGAACTGACCAGTCCCGTTTCGATTTACAGACAAACTTATTGGAAGTACAAACAAGAGTGCATGAGATGATTCTGAATCAGATATTTTTGTTCCTTCCTTAAAAACCATGACTTAAAGGAGTAGGTTGGACCTACTGAAGTGAATTTCTGTGTAGAAGTTTTAAATAATATCTTACATGTTGTAGATAGCTGCTTCTATCTAGATAAAAGCTAGTCTGAACGTTGCCAAGACCAAACTGGATAACTTTCATCCTAAAACATCTTCAGTCTAAAATAAATCAATTGGTTCATGAAAATACTTTTATTTAATCTTTACACCACCATCAGTTTTTCCTAACAATGTTAATTTGGCAAGAGTATTATAATATTCCTGCTGGATGTGACCACTGGATGCACTGGAAGTGCATTTAGACTAATAAACAACCACAAAATACCATGTAAACAACTGTGTAATGCACATGTAATGGTGTAAAGGTTTATTTTTTAATAGAAATCACATGAATCACTAAAAAAGGGCAGCACGTTGGTGCAGCTGATAGAGCTGCTGCCTCTCAGTGAGCAGGTTGCCCCAGCTCAAATCCCGGTCCGGGGTCCTTTCTGGGTGGAGTTTGCAAGTTCTCTCCGTGCATGCATGGGTTTTCTTCAGGTACTCCAGTTTCCTCTCACAGACCAAAAACATGCATGTTAGGCTGATTGGTAACTCTAAATTGTCTCTAGGTGTGAGTGAGAAAGTGAATGGTTGTTTAACTCTATGTGTCCCTGTGATGGACTGGAGACCTGTCCAGGGTGTCCCCCGCCTCTCACACAGTGACAGCTATATATGGGCACCAGTGACCTCCACGACACGAAAAGGAAGAAGAGGGTAAAGATGATGGATGGATGGATGAACCACTTAAAATGTTTGGAAACTGAAGTTGTTGATGCAGTAATCCACTTTAGCCTTTACTATTTTTATATTATTGCGTTCATATAAATTTAATTCAGTTTATTGATATGGTGCCAATTCATAACAAAAGCCATCTCAGCACTCTGTACAAAAAACACTTACATACATTATAACATGCAAATTAGTAAAAACTGTCTAAGGAAGCCAGCGTGTGGCGATGAACCTTCACTTTGTCGCACCCTTCCACCCTCAGCAGAAAGTTGGTGACAGTGGAAAGAAATGACTCTCTTTTAACAGAAATAAATTTCCAGCAGAACTGGGCTCAGGGTTTTTTGTTTTTTTGAATGTCCAGAGGACCAGATTGAACTTTTTTAGATTTTTCTACCTGGATTATTGAGCATGCATCAGGATGTCATTCCAAGATGGTTGAAATATTCCTTTAACAGATTCACACTCAAGCATATCTCCACATTTAAATCCCTCCTTGGTCAGTCAGTGGTAGATGAGAGTGGATAATGACCCCCACTGTTATTTAAACACCGTAATCAGCTGTTTACTATGATTTACACTTACAGTGACCTCATCAACCTTACGTCAACGACCAGAGGAGGCAGAAACTCCCCAACATAAAAATGATGCTCATTATTGCGATGTTTTACCTTAGAGTCCAGGCAGGAAATCAATCCACGATTGTTAGTCCACTATTAAGTTTAATTCATTTAATCAAGGTGTATGTACTTTGTATCCAGAGATAGTGACAATGTCTTATTACATTACAAACATTTAGGGTTATGTACTGAGGAAGAATGTGTCTGTAACACTTGTGTTTTTCACAAGCACTGACATTATGGAAAGGAGAGCTGGCTGTCACTTCACATCAGATTACCGTATTTTCCGCTGTACACGTTGCACCACCCTATAAGTTGCATCAGTCCAAATGTGTCTAATAAAGTAGAAAAATCCATAAATATGTTGCTTCGGTGTACAAAGTATAAGTTGCAGGGCATGTAAATTATGCAAAAGACCACGACTTATATATGGAGAAAAATACGGTATGAAGTTGTACCAGAAGCTCGTCTGATTACTTCCACTGTTTTTCAAATGACCAAACAGTACAACAATGAAATAAACTTCATTTACACTTATGAAAGCTGGCAGCTCATAAACAAAACTTACTCTTTTGACCCCTTTTCAATTAGTACTGGTACACGCGACTCGACTCGACTCAGCCTGGTTCCAAGGCTTTTCCATTAGTAACGCTACGTAGAACCGGCCCCTTTTTTCAGAACCCTTGCATGTGTGGTTCCAACCGGCCGAACAGGTACCAAAATGTGACTTCAGAACACTGTCAGTCACTGATTGGTCAGGGGGCGGAGTCACAGTATCTTTCAGGAACTTTTCAAAACACAGATCCACCATTTGCAATTTCTCAGAACTTGGAGCAGTGACTGGATCTATTTTAAATATTTTAAAAACAATAATGACAACACTGTGGTCTAATGCCGACTCAGGGCTCGGGATCCCGGCCTTGTGTGCTCTGCGGGCTCCAAGCTCTGCTGGTCACCAAGGAGGATCATACGAGCTGCTGAATCGCAGAAGGCCGTTGCCCGGACCCCGGCCTTGCGTGCTCATGAGGCCAAACCCCGATCCCAGCAGACGGATCTGGCGCACGGAGGGTGGAAACGATTTTTAACAACTTTTTATGTAATGTTTTTTTTTATCAGTGATGATTAAATAAATAAACTGTGCTGGCTTTATCATGAAATCCTGTTGTCACTTTAATGACTATTAATTAATCTGTTAAAGTTAGCTCATAAAAAGACAAAATTATTGGATCTCTCCGGAATATTTCCCTCAAATATGTTTAAAGAAGAGCTACAGCCTTTAGTTCAACTTTATTCTAACCCACAGATGTACAAATCACAAGACAAGAATTAAACTTTAAAGCAAAGCAAAAAATAAAAATATACCTGTAAACAAGAAACAAAACCACACATCTAAATTGAACAATAAAAGTAGACACGAGTGCAAATACATCAAATGATGAAGAAAACGCATAAAATTTTAAATATAGATGTTTTTGTAGAATCTGCTTCATCAGAGATTTAATGGTGAACTAAAGTTCATTAAAAGTTCA